GAATGAGCCAATGTTAGAACTAGATCCAAAAATCTAGGGACGGTCTTGGCAAGGGGAAACCTGCAGGGTGAAACACTGGCACTGCCGTTCAGGGTCGGACACTGTAGCGGACAAACTTCTACAAGATGTTGTGAAATACACAAGTGCTGAAATACAAGTAAAACTTTTTTCATGTACCAGCACCTAAGCTCAAAAATGTATTCATTGGACTGTAGACTGGTACAACCACTGTGCAAATCAGGGTGGAGAGTCCTCAAAGAAAAAAGCAAACAAACTAGAATTAGAGGTCCATTCAAGCCAGTTATTCCCCTCCTGGGTAATTTTCGAGAAGAACTGAAAGCACCATACCAAAGTGATGTATGTGTGCCCATGTTTACAGCAGCACAATTTGTCACAGCTAAATCTCGGCTACAACCCAAATATCCATTGACTGAGGAATGGATTTTTTAAAATGTGGTATTTTTATACAATGGACTACTCAATTATAAAAAAAAGATAAACTCGAGGCTTTTATAGGTAAATGGGTGCAACTAGAGACCTACTCACGTGAAATAAATCAGACCCGCGTGTGCAAACATCGTATTGTCTACTGGTGTAAGAACCTGAAAGAGTAAGTTAATTCTGAAAAATACAATAAATGCAGTGAAAGGCAAAGAAACTGCTCGAAGGGAAGGAACAACTGTGGTGAGGGAGGGAAGGAAGGAAGGAAGGAAGGAAGGAAGGAAGGAAGGAAGGGAAAAACACACACATACTCAGGATAGCTGGGATAACTGTCCTGCCACCACGCCCAGTTTTGGTGGCCAGCTCAGTGTGCCCGGGACAGGGCTGGCACAGCATGTGGTACCAAGGATTGAACCAGGGGTCCTTGCGCTTACCTAGGTAGGCACTTAGACCACTGAGCTATCTCCCCATCCCAGGTCTTTATTAATATAGTAATGAGCCAAATTATTTGTGAACAGACTCAATTGCTCCCATCTCCCTAATTAATCAGAATATGACATTTGACAATTGGTTTACCAATTTCCAATTGATGTCACATTTGCTAACAGCACATGAGTTGAACAGCATAGGAACTGTATGTAGGAACCAAGCATAAATTCCAAATGAAACGATCCAATTTTAAAGCTGAGAATTGTATAGTACAATCTTTGGATTTCAGAAAGATGTAACATTGGCTTCACACATGACAAAACAAACTGGTACTGCTAATGTCACCATCACACCATTATTCTACACAACTAAGGCAGCAATCTCGTGGGCAGCCAGACAGGGCTGGGCCCCCCGCAAGGTCAGTGCAGGAGACAGCTGTGGCAGGAGGCACGTGCAGTGAACACCCGGTGCGAAGAAAAAGAGGAACGACTCGCCCCTCTACTTCCCTTAGGGATGAACGGCGGTGGCTGATATTCTAAATAGACCTGTTTCCTTGGGGTAGAGGACCAAACCTGCTCCATCCACCCCTTCCAGGCAGTCCATCCCGAGTGTGCTTGCTAAGTGCCTAGCGTCCCGCTTGATCAACATTACTCAAGTGATGCTACTCACAACCTCGTTAGTTTACCATAGTATTATTCCAGCTCACACCCATCCTATGACTTTTCCATTGGATCAGTATTACCTAAGCAAGCAGTCAGTCTTCAAATTCTGGACCCATGAAGAGAGGAAACTTTGGAGGCAGAAGCTCTGGGCCCTGTGCTGGTGGAGGCCAATATTTTACCAAACCACGAAATCAAGGTGGCTATGGTGGCTCCAGCAACAGCAGTAGCTGTGGCAGTGGCAGAAGGTTTTAAACACTTCCAGGAAACAAAGCTTGGCAGGAGGAGAGCCAGAGACGTGACAGGGAAGCTACAGGTCACAACAGATTTGTGAACTCAGCCACACATAGTGGTGGCAGGGCCCAGCTGCTACAAAGAAGACATGTTTTAGACAATACTCATGCACATGGGCAAAAACTCAAGGACTGTGTTTGTGGCTAATTGTTTAGCAGGTTATTTTAGTTTCTGTTCTGTGGAAAGTATGAAGCATTCCAACAAAAGGTTTTAACTTCAAGTTAATTCTGCTTTTCTTTTTTGCAGAACTGGGGATTGAGCTCAAGCCCTTGCGCTTCCCAGGGAAGCACTTATTCCATTGAGCCATCTCCCCAGCCCCCAACAAAAGGTTTTAATGTGGACCTTTTTTTGCACCCGTGCTGTTGATTGCTAAATGTAATAGTCTGGTCATGATGCTGAATAAATGTGTCTAAAAAAAAAAAAAAAGTATTACCTAAGCAGCTATACTTGGAATCTTTTTTGTTATAGTTCTGTCCCACCTGGATCCTTCCTCGCTTGGTGACTTTGCTCAGTAAACATTGAGAAGCAGGGTTGGTGGGCAACCCATGTACCAGACCCCCTTCTGCCTCTCTTTCTTGCAGTAAATTCTTCCTATTCTTAACCTCCATTGTTCCTAGCCTTCATTTGACTTTAGAGAACTCAAACTCAGTCTTTCGGACATCTAGCAGTTTGGGAGTTTCTTTCTCCTATATCACCTTGGTAGAAATACAGATAGGGGAAACCTCAACTAAGCGGAAGCCTGAGGTGGCACCTTCGTACAGCAAAATCACAGGTGGCACAGATGTTGTCGACGAGTTACGCAGCGACTGTGACCTCACTGGAAACAGAGCACTGACCAACGGTTCTGTGTTACTCAACCCTACGCGTGTGTCACCAATGGTTTGATAATTTACAAAGAAAGTAACAAGAGCAAAGTATCATGAGAAACTTTCTAGACTGGACTCATCACAAATTATTTACAACAGAGGAAAAACAAACTATTTCTGCGCAGTGAAATACGAACAAAAAAATGTGGAGTACACTGGTGAGCCGGCAGGTGAGCCGGCAGGCCCAGCACTGCAGAGGCCTACTAAGACAACAGGAAAACCAGAAGGATGTCACCCGCGCCCTACAGGAAAGGACAGGCAGGCAAGGCTATCGGCGGAGCCAACACTTGTGCATGGCACATGCTCTGTCACAGGTGCAGACTGCCTTGAGTGTGACAGGTGAAGATCATTTCTGTGGTAGACTTTGATTTATATTCACACTGAGG